CAAGACCTGCCCCATCCCCGAGCCGACCCGTGCTCCGTTTCCCTTGGGTTTCAACAGGCTTTTTCTCACTCCCACTGAGTCTTCCCAGGCCTTAGGCCTGATTCCTACCCCACCAGGCCAAGCACCCTTTTCCTCACTTACCTCTACTTACCTCCAAAGTTAAACTTTGAGGAACTCCGAGACCTTCCAGAGTGCTAGAATGACTTTCCTTTTTTGTGCGGCAACATGGCACAATTCCAAAAGTGGCTGCCATTTTCTTCCACCCACAAAATGGTGGTCTGCAGATAAACTGTTTTGTTTTGCTGACTTAACAAGGTCTGCACATTGCTGCAGAAAGCTTTAAAGTTTTTGTATACAGTAAATACATTTGTAAACAATGTTTGAAAGATTTTTAAGCGGCTTCATTCTCTGCTGCTTGCAAGTATGATTTTTGTTATTTTACTTCAATCAATCAGAATAGAGCTGGAAGGAACCTTGGAGGTCTTCCAGTCCAACCCCCTGCTCAAGCAGGAGACCCTAAACAATTTGAGACAAGTGGCTGTCCAGTCTCCTAAAAACCTCCAGAGATGAAGTACCCACAACTTCTGAAGACAAAACTGTTCCACTGGTTAATTGTTCTGACTGTTTAAGTTTATCCTTAATTCCAGGATGCTTCTCTCCTTGATTAATTTCCACCCATTGTTTCTTGTCCTGCCTTTTGGTGCTTTGGAAAATAAGTTGACCCCCTTTTCTTTGTGGCAGTCCCTCAAATATTGGAATTCTGCTATCATGTCACCCCTAGCCCTACTTTCCTCTAGACTAGCCATACCCGGTTCCTACAACCGTTCTTCATATGTTTTAGTCTCTAGGCCTTTAATCATCCTAGTTGTTTTTCTATTATTTTAAAATAATAGGTCAGCTTCTGCAGTGTTCAGTAGCTAACACACCTGTTTTGTTTTCATTAAAAAACATCTTCCTCCCCAAGGGGGAAAAAAAACAGAGCAAGGGCAAACCTACCTCCCCTTGAGTCACGGAAGATTAAAAAGAAAAAAAATAGAAACTGATACATATTTTTTGTCATCCCACAGGCAATGATGATGTCCTGTGCAATATTAGGATCCAATATAAGAGAATATTTGTAGCTCAGGGTTGAACTATGGCATCCTTGATGCTCTCTGAGCTTGCAGGCATTTCATCAGATGTTTGTCACAGATGTTTCAAGATCTACAGGCCCATTAAAAAGGATGGTGATGTAGAGAACGTTTTTCTGGAGATTTTATTGTAAACATCTGCAGCCAATTACAATATGACACTACACTTGTGAATTAAAGTGACTGACAATTGTCCTTTCACACAACATTTATAATGCCATTTAATGAATGGGTGGGAAAAGTGGCATTTGAGTGACATTGGGTGAGATGTAACAAGCACTACATAAATTAGAAGTAAAGATCAGATGGGAGACATTCATCAAAGGAAACTTTTTATCTAAAGGGAATTTATCTGGGAATATAAATTCCAGAAAATCTACCTTGGACAGCTAATTATTTGGGACAGGGGATCCCTCTCCCTACATACTGGTAGTAGAGCACACATGGGACATGAGCCGTAGTGGCACAGTGGTTAGAATGCAGTACTACAGGCTAACTCACTGCTCATTCCAGGAATATGATTCTAAATGGCTCAAGGTTGACTCAGCCTTCCACCCTTCTGATGTCAGTAAAATGAGGACCCAGATTGTTGGGGGGCAATAGGCTGACTCTGTAAGCCACTTAGAGAGGGCTGTAAAGCACTGAGAAGCGGTATATAAGTCTAAATGCTATTGCTATGTTGAACTTTATTCATTCAGCAAGAAGAGATCTACAATAGACACTGGCTAGCACAGCCATTAGTTCTCATCAAAACAAGAGCCAGAAACAGATCCCATGGTCTTGTGAAATATTCCTTCAGATGAATTCAAACATGGAGAAATGGAGAAATTACAGCAGATCTTCCAAAACTTCATGGGAATCAGCAAGGAAGAGAAAAACAAACAAAAAACAAAATCCAAAACAAAACAAAACCTCCTTAAATCAGCAACTTCATTTTTAGGCTTATTCCAGTGCACAGGTGCTCATAAGATCTGGAATGTTTTTTCCTCAGTCATTATGGAATGATGACTTTGTATTTCATATACTTTGTTTAGAGCAGGGGCCCCCAACCCCCGGTCCGTGGACCAATACCGGTTCGTGGCATGCCAGCAACCGGTCTGCACAAACAAAGCCCCATTCATGGGATGCAGGCAGCAAACAAAACCACACACTGTCCAGTCCGTGGAAAAACCTTTCACCACGGAACCGGTCCCTGGTGCCCCAAAGGTTGGGGACCTCTGGTTTAGAGAGCCAGTTTGGTGTGGTGATTAAAGTAGTAGGCTAGAAACCCTGAAACTCTGAGTTCTAGTCCAGCCTTAGACACAAAGAAAGCAGGATGACCTTGAGCCAATCACTCTCTCAGCCTTAGGAAAGAGGCAAGGACAAACCACTTCTGAAAAACCTTACCAAGAAAACTGCAGAGACTTGTCCAGGCAAATTCTGAGAACCAGACATAACTGAACAGGAAAAAAAATGCTTTGTTTACATATAATCTCTGTAAGAACCTCTATATATGAAGAATGGCCCCACTTATCAGGACTCAGAGCCTTTGAAGAACAGCTCTTCCTTCCCCTCTTCCAATCTTTCTCCCTTTTTATGAAGAACAGATTCATCTATTTGCAGAAAACAATTGATCCCTGCTTTTTCTTGCACAGAAAATGGATCTCCCCACAGAAGGCAGGGCAGAATTGTTTCCACCTGGTCTTGTATGGCAGGAGCTTCTGTAGGCAAAAGTCAACATGGAGTTACACAATAGAAGGCCAGCCTCTTTTGTAACTGTGTGAATGTAGCATGTGCATATAGAGGGATAGGGCTTCAGTCATTCTTGACTTTTTGATACATTCCCCATGGATGCGATTGCACACCACTACTTATTATTTATCAAATGTGAACTGCAAATTTCAACTACTTGCTCCCTCACTCCTACATAAAGTTCCTTGAAAGGATAGGTTTGGGGGTTGGGTAGATCTGAAACTTCCCATCTATGCTACTTTTTAATTCTTCTTCAGATTTTCTGAATGTTTGCTTATCTTTACTGCTGAACATTTCAGAGCTTCTGATATACAAAAGAAATCTGGGTGAATAAATAACACCAACATTTGGTGCTTATTTATTTCCTAAACAAAATCATCCACAATATTCTGTGAAAAAGTAATCACACACACACACTCCTCCATTCTTTCACCAGCTTTTGCTGTAATAGTTGCTACCAAAATGCTTCTTGTAATTGCAAATTACAGTAGTCTCTCATATCACTATGCAGTAATTTTGGGCTATTCTTCTACAGCAAATTTCCTTGACTGAGTTATACTTGAGGCAGTTGTAGCATTTCAAGTTCTGTATGGTGATTCTAGCCATTCCAAAACATTAAATTGTTTCTTCTTCAGTTTTCTTGTAAACTTGCAGGAACCAAGAACTTGCTGCACAACCAGGTTCACTTTAGCTTCAGTTCTTCTGCAGAATTCCCTGATGCAAAGCAGAATTCATGTTTCCTTCAATGATGGAGAATCATCACTTCCTGAAGTAGCAAAGCACTTCACTTCACACTGCTATCATGTCACCCCTCGTCCTTCTCTTCACTAGACTAGACATACCCAATTCCAGCAACCGCTCCTTATGTTTTAGCCTCCAGTTCCCTGATCATCTTTGTTGCTCTTCTCTGTACTCTTTCTAAAGTCTCAACATCTTTTTTACATTGTGGTGACCAAAATTGGATGCAATATTCCAAGTGTGGCCTTACCAAGGCACTGTAAAGTGGTATTAACACTTCACGTGATCTTGATTCTATCCCTGTTAATTCAGCCTAGCACTTGATTGTTTTGGCAGCTGCAGCACACTGCTGGCTCATATTTAAATGATTGTCCACTAGGACTCCCAAGATCCCTCTCACAGTTGCTACTATTGAGCAAGGTACCAGCTATACTATACCTGTGCATTTGGTTTTTCTTGCCTAAATGTAGAACATTACTTTTTTCACCACTGAATTTCATTTTGTTAGATAGTGCCCAATGTTCAAGTCTGTCAAGATCCTTCTGTATCTTAAGCCTATCTTCTGGACTGTTGGCTATTCCTGCCAGCTTGGTGTTGTCTGCAAATTTGATGAGTTCCCCATCTATCCCCTCATCCAAATCACTGATGAAGATGTTGAAGAGCACTGGGCCCAGAACAGAGCCCTGGGGCACCCCACTACACACTTCCCTCCATGTAGATGCAGTTCCATTGAGGACCACACGCGGAGTACGGCCAGTCAGCCAGCTACGAATCCATCTGGTGGTGATGCTGTCTAACCCACATTTTTCTCTTATCAGTTTGATTGAGGTTTTTATTGTGGAGGGCAGATTTTGGTTTTCACCAACTACTGTAATGCAGTGATGTGGCCTAGAAATTTGAGATAAGCGATCTTTTTTATTAGGCAATGGCTTTTGTTGTTGCTACTTTTCCATGAATCCCATTTTTATCCAGGTTCTTTTGGATGGTGAAGTCATGAGTAATGACTTTAACTAAAGTAAGATATATCTGAAAATCTGGATGCTATTCTGGCATTGTTTATGGAGTGATTTTGTCAAGGCAGGCATTTTTAGTTAAGGTTCATTATTGATCCAGATCTTTTTCAAGACTATGTCTTTTACCAGGGAAGCCCAGAGCTTTAGAAATATTATTCATATTTATTTTGAGGGGGAGATGATGTGCCTCTAGTCTTATGTGGTGAGAATCTCACTGTGATGACAGCAACTGTGTGACATTTATATAGGCTTTATAAACTTGTTTAAGTTCTCACATAACTAGCCCTGCTGAACTTGGAGAGGGGTAATTGCTTATTCACATTGATAAATCATGCTTTGTATCTGAAATAAATTAAATAAGCAGCAATCTTTGATATTACTTTTTCACTTGGTTATCTTTATATATCAACAGAGCCCACATGAAGCTCTGATAACATTTGCTAGCAAAGATATACAAAAATTAAGAAAATTGAGGAATGAATACACATTTTTACAGAACTATTTATGGTAAATATTTTTCACATTTTGCAGATGGGGAGCCTGGGCAAGTATGACTTAACTAATCAGGTTACTCCATGCAGTTAATATTAAAATCAGGCAACAATTTTCTGTAAATTTATTAACTGCCATTCCACCAACTTTATAGGGGAAAGACACCAGGCTTCATCTTACGCACAAACAGGATAACCCTACTGGGTTAATTTTAGTGTTGGTTCATGCTCTGTGATGAGTCAGGCATAGTGCATTAGGTTTTCTTGAAACTCATATAGTGCTGTTCAGCAATCCTCTTTAGCCTTCTGGGCCATCATTCTGCAAGCTGGCCCTAGAAGATGAAACTTGAGTCCTACTAAAAAGAAGCAGAATCCCACCCCCCGTCTTGATTTGAGTGATTTGGGTGAAACAAATATATTTCCTACAGTATTTCTTAGGAATTTGAATGCTTAATGTCATCTCATGCTTTGTTCATGTTTGTGTAAGACACACAACTCTGCTTGGAAGTTTCTATATCCCGATCCCATCTAACAGAATTGTAACACTACAGTTTGTATGTTCCAGTTGTCAAAGGTAGCCGGATTAAAAATGGGGTGAGGGTGTGACGAGAGGAAAGTTAGGGTTATCAGTAAGAAAATGGTGCCTGGAATTTCCTGCTTCTATTGCAGTTAATAAGATAGCAGGCCACATTAATACACATGATGACACTGAATACCATAATTTCTACAGGGTAGTGGAAGCAAGGATGGCAAAAATATGAAGAGCCAATGGTGTTGAGTTAAATTAGATTGAATTTTTGTTCTCCTTTATTTTCCATACTATTTCTCTCCTTTTTTTTTTCTATACTTTGTATAACCCTGCTTAACCAAAAATAAAATAGTGTGATGGGCATGTATAATATGTAGTAAAAAATATTGCTTCCAAGTCATAGGCTTTATTCTGCATTGGTCAATATAGTAGCTGCTCTTGAACATTATCCAGAAACTTTAGTTTGTACAAAATGTGGCAGTGCAGAACGTTATGTGTGCTCCTAGGCAGTCCATGTTACACCTCTATTCTAAGAGCTGCATTGGTTGCCAGTTTGCTTCCAGCTTCAATTCAGTGTGCTGTTTTTAAGCTTTAAAGCCTTTCTTAGCATCGGACTGGGCTATATGAGGAACCATCTCTCCTTGATTACAACCTGCCCTGTTAGATCTTGCTCAGAATGCATGCTAAGGGGTGGGATTATTGTTGGTTAGGGATTTACGTTTGGTGGATTCCAGGAGATCTACCTTTTTTGCTGTGGTGCCCACCTTATGGAACATCCTTCCGCCTGGAATTAGATTGGTGCCCTACTTATGCTGCCAGGCATGGGACTCCCAGATCTGTCCTGATTACTCCATTGCTGAAAGGGCCATTTTTGTTCTTTCATCCAAGGTATTTTTGTTTTTATGTTTATTTATTACTGTGACGTTTGGATTTTTATCTGTTTTGGCTGTTTTATTTAATGTTGTGCGCTACCCAGAGTCCTTTTGGGTAAGACTGGCAGCTATATAAAGTTGATAAATTTGATTAATAAATTTAAAACATTAGTTGGTATGCTTTTCTTCTAGACTAGTGGTAATGCTGGAAAGAAAGTGGACAAAATATATTACAATTAACTGTATTTCTGCATTACAGAGGAAAAAGAGATTGGTGGGAGACTAACATCTAAAATGAACTGAATTGACCTATCCTTGAAATATGATGTGTATGTGACAATAACACTGATTAGTGCTTCCCCATACAACAGCACTAATCAGTAGGAGAGCAATGAAACTTGCAAATAGCTAGAGATCTGTCAAAAATGAGGGTCATGTTATAATTTGGTCAGTGCAAGATAAACAGACAGGAGGTTCAACTGGAGACAGCAGGTCAATGGAGGAGATCCCACATGGTTCTTCATCGCAGAAGGGACCACTTAATCTGTTCCTTTGCTGATTGCAGTACCTGCAAAAAGAAGAAGATAAACATTGGTGGTGACATGGATTTCTGTCCACCCACATAACTCTTTTACAGAAAAAAATCTCAGAAGAGCAGTTCATAACATAAGAGAAATTAAAGCTGAGAAGGGCAAAACTAGTATCATGCACTAGTTTGCAAATGCAAATCCTGGGACCTAAATAAAATAGGGGGAGTCCATTTTTTCAAAACCACAACTGACTAATGAAAATACTTTGTAGCATTTCAAATTCTGTAAACATATTTCCAAGTTATAACAACTTTGCTCATCCCAGAGTGGGAGAACAATCAGACGGAAGAAGGTTATTCAACAAGTCTAAACATTCAAAGTTTGGATCATTGAAATGAAAGCTAAGACTAGTGGCGCATTCAATTCTGCGTCATGCTTCAAAACTCGCATTTGTGTGTCCTCATGTCCCTAGGATATTAGAGGCACACCTGCCTCTATCAATGTCTTCAAGTGTAAATTCAAGAAAGGTTCACTGGAAGGAAAAGACAAGGGCAGCAAGGCATGTGGAAATAGGATATCGACTTCCGGTTTTGCGTTGTGGCGAGATGGGACACAGGAAGACAGAGCTCTGCCTTCTGCACCCGATTTTGTCCTGCTGAGAGTCCTGAAAAGGGCCTAAAGTCGCCCCGAAGAGGCGATAAAGAAGGGGGGGTACCTTGTCGATCACAGAAAGACAGTGGTCTCTCCGTTCGATCCAAGGAAAGCCCTCTAAACCAGCAGGGGAAAGACTGGCCACACCTCTGCGGCCAGCCATTAGCTGCTGACAACCGAAGAACAAAAGCTTTATTTAGCACACTGTAAACAGCATGTTTGGACTGGGTGAGAATATTGATCCTTTCTTTACTATTTTACAACTGAATTTCCTGGGAAAGGCTCCCAAGAAGCTTAAAACCTTCAGATGTGAACGGAAGCAGCATTTTAAATTTTTTATGGGGGACAGAAATACACAATACTGAAGTGAAAGTAATACAAAGCTACAGTTTTAATAAATCTGAGAACTGAGATAAATTGTTAAGATTTTCTCTTTGAAAAAAAATTATTGGGTGAAATATAAGAAATCAACCTTTTGTTTTAAGAGTGGAAAATGGACTTTGAATGACATCTAGTGGTGGATTTGAGTACAGCACTACAACTAGCTCCTTGGCTGCTTGGTGAATTTCAGCTCAAGGGAGAACAGCTGGCAATAAAGGAAAATTTTATCATCCTGACCTCCTTGGACTATAAATACCTACTGGGCTTGGACTTTTAATCTCAAGAGCTAGTGGGAGAGAAAGAAAAAAATTGACTTTTAAATACGTCTGGCTGCAGGGAGGTTGAACATTTTGAACACTTGGAACACATTGTGGATTATAACCTTACCTGACTGATAATTTTCAGGATACTTGAGACAAAAGATTACTATAAAATATTGCTATAAAATAGGACTAGATTATAAAGACTGTATATAAAGACCGGAAAACTAAAGGAAATTTTGTTCCACTCTATACTGGTGATACTAAAGGATTTCTAGGAATGATGCCTCAAGAAAAAACAAATACCTTTCAGAAGGAAATACTCTCTATGCTACAGCAAATTTATCAAACAATTCTTGTACACAAAGAGGACATAAAAAGAAACCATGAGACTAAAAATAATCTAGATCAGTGGTGTCAAACTCACAACATCACGTGACGTGTCATAACGTATCGTGACTTTTTTGCCATTGCCAGCAATGGGGTGGGCGCGGTTTCGCTATGATACATCTGGCCCACGGGCCGGCAGTTTGACACCCCTGATCTAGATGATATAAAGGACCAAATCTCCAAATTGAAGCTACAACTGGAAAGCTCCTAGACCAGTGATGGCGAACCTTTTAGAGACTGAGTGCCCAAACTGCAACCCAAAACCCACTTATGCATTGTCGGGTGCCAGGTGGGTGTGGCCCATTGGGTGGATGTGGCTGCGGTGGTAATGGCAGACTGGGTGGGACTAAAAAGTTCAATCAATCAATTCCAACTTTGCGAGATCTTTTTTTTCCCTGGAAGAAGCTGAAATTGATTGATTGAACTTTTTTTTTTTGGCACACGGTGGCGGAGGCCTAAAGCGAAAAGATTTTATAAAATCCAGCTGAAGGCCTAGGACTGGGGCGATGGCGCACGTGCCCTCAGAGAAGGCTCTGCGTGTCACTTGTGGCACGCGTGCCATAGGTTCGCCACCACAATCCTAGACAATGACTACAAAGTATGAACAAATAAACCAGAAATCAGAGGGTGAAGCAGAAGAAATAGACCTAGAGATAGAGGAAATAGGAGAAGGGAAATATGGACTGCCATACACAAATAAAATACTCCAAGACCTATCTATAACAATGAAAATACAAAAGACCCTTTACTCCTTTCTCCAAAATACACCTGATGACAAGGAAGAAGATTCTAGAAAATTGAATATAGAGCGGGCAGGGGAAATGTCTAGGGAATGTCCCCCAAATATTCTACCTAAATTGTCTTTCTCATGCCCAGCAGCTTGCACAAAAATAGAAAGAAAATTCTTGGGCGATTTAATTACCTTGGCCTGGAAAGCTGCTTGGCAAAGAAAGAAAGCAAGAGTTAGACTTAAAAACACAGAGGATTTGATCTATCAGAGGGGGTACTATCTCTGTAATATACTTGTTTGAACATGATTAAAAGAACGGATGACCCTTAGATGTAACTAGATTTTTATAATGGAAGATATGATTTAGAATTAAAATAGCATTTTTTTTCTTCTTTTGATATGGGAAATTTGAAAATAAGATTGGTATGAATAAAATTTGTTAGCTATATAAATGTAATTAATTTTTGTCATAAAAGATACTTTAAATACCGATGGGAAATCAAATTTTAATAAGAGCATGAAAACAGGACATTGATTTATGAATTGATATTATTGTTATTTTTATAATATTAGTAAAATATGATGAAGATGTCTATACCTAATTTTGTATACATCAATAGTACTAAGAATTGTAATTGTTTAATGAGGAGAAAAGGGAAGAAATATGGGGAAGAAAGGAAGATTAAGGAAAAAATACTGGATTGTGCAGTATTGAATATAGTTATATGGAAAAAGTTAATATTAAATATGTGAACCCAGACATGTTGTTTACTAAGCTTTAAAGATTGCAATTTTTAAAAATAAAACCTATAGACCTATAGGAAATAGGATATCATGCAAAATGTAAAACACTACAGAAAATCTGACCAGAAGAAGACATACCTGTGAGACTGTCTGTTCTGTGAGAGGGACATCCTCCCCCTAAAACAGGAAAAACAAACTCTGTTTGGTGGGATGCAGAATATCTCATTGACCTTTCTGAAAAATAGATCTGATGGACTCCTACTTTTCTGTTCCCAAATCAGGGACTACAATTTGCCACTTAGGCCAATTGCTTATCAAGAGTGCATCCTTTGTCTTCTCCTGCCCCCACAACATTACAGCCCACTTGCAGACAATCCCAGATAAAAGATATGGAATTGTGACATCCTTTCATCTGCTGCAAATACAAGCTAAGTAACTGTTGCCTCTGCCTGTCAGCCAATTGTGTCAGAAAGCTCCTGCCTATTGGACAGGCCGCCAAGGAAGAAAAGGTCACTTACACGTACGGCTACCCTATGTAGCACTTGCTGGGGATCACTCTCCAAAATCACCCTATAAGAGAGAAAGAAATAATTGTTCACCAAACTGAACTACATTCTTTGATGGCTCTTGAGAGGGGAGGGGTAGCAAGAGTAACAAAGACTGATATTTCCTGAAACAACCCAAGGAATTTCTTACCATTGAGAATGCATATTTTGTCCAGAGGTATGCACTAGATTCATATACAAGCAAAGCCAAATTTGAGCATGATCAGATTTCTAAAGACAGTGGACTCACCCCCCATCCACAATTTCATCCACTGCCAGGAAAAGGCCTTCCATGTTCTCTAGGAGAGCTCGCTTCTCCACATTCTTTCTGCAAGAGATACCGAACACTACTGAGTGTGGAACTGGGGCATTGTCTACCACTTTAGCCTCTAAAGTTTCTAAGGATCAGGACCTGATTCAAAACTGAAATCCCACACATACTCTTTATTTTAACATGGTGTTTCTCAACCAACGATATGGTACCACTAGAAGCAAACAAGTTATCTAGATGGAATGCAACTCCTCCCACCCCAAAATGGAAAAAAGCTTGTAAGATAAGAGGATAAGCAGAGTAGGAGGACAGAGCAGCCAGTGTTACTTGAGTGTGCTGAAGCAAAGGGAACTAAGTTATCTCTGGATGAAGCAACCAGTAGCTTGAAATCCCTGCTTTCCCAGTCCCTGAAAACCCCATATGGTGTTACCAATTCTCAAACACACAAATCCACAGATGGACTCCAAATTAGTAATACAAGTAATAACAATACATCCTGACAGGGTAGTCTAATCAAAATCTGGTTATTTCTGAGAAAGAAAATCAGTCTTCTCTAATAAATTCCCTTTAGACATCTTGCACGTCAGCTCCCATACACCTCAGATATACCAATAAGGAGCTTCTTACCGCAACATCTGACTGAGTGAGTCAAAGAGGCAGTTGAGCACAGCCATTAGCATCAGCTGCAAAGAAAAAGCACATCCCTATGATCAACATAAATGCATACACAATGACCCAAAGACTACATTCATTCTGGAATGTTTGGAAGTTTTTCCCAGAAAAGATTGGTGTTTTGCTACAAGTCACTAGGGACCAAAGTAGGCATGGTGTGCCAGAATTATGCATCTATGTATGCGCCATTAGTCCTTCCTCTTAAGCATATATGAGAGTTCTCAGTTTAAAATGGGATAAGAGAGGGTAATGATTCAATCTTGCCACAACATCCTGTTCCAAGATCAACAGTGTCAGTATTTTGCAGTTTGCAATTCAGTTTTCACACAACCTAAGGTTGCCATCATATAACAATGATGGCAACAATGTTTTCTTCATATAGAAGTCCGCAAGATTGAAACTAAAAGTGCTACTGCAAAAAGCTGCTTTGCTGTTCCTAGAATATCATACCTCATTTTCATAGGAGCTGCCGATAACATAAAAATACAGGTCAATGCTGCTCTTGTAAACAACAGTCAGGCCTTCTAAGAGGGCAATCTCACCTGGAACAAGAGGGAAGGGAGGAAGGCAAATACAACTAAATTATATTTCCAATTCAGAGTAATGATAGTATTCTGATACAGTACAGCCACCCTTCACTTTCAAAAGCTGCTTAACAAGAAAATGTTGTCCCAGAGTTAATGCAGTTTTTTTTAGAGGATCCATACTACTGCAGAAACAACTGCCTCTTACTTTAAAAAAGTATTTAGACTGTAATTACCTATCAATACTTACATTCGTATCAATTTGTAATCAGTGTTACATAAAGCAGTTATGTATTGCAGGGTGCAGCATGAATCCACACATTCCTGCCTTATAGTTCACCTGCACAAAGCTGTAGGGTGCTTCTCAGGAGGCAAGAAATTTGAAAGCAGTATCTTATTACCGTCATGGAATATGAGTTTTTGATTTTATATAGGAGGAGTTTTTGATTTTATGTAGTAAGAGGATGCATCAAAAAGAAAATTTACCTTAAAACTGAACGTCGAATGTGTTGGTTGCTCACTCAAAACAAAATCCAGAGGGGCTTTAGGGGAATAGGTTGGGCAACGCTGGTGGGTCTCACTTCTCTCAAAGAATTTTACTTAAGCAAATGATAGACTCATAGAATTTGAAAGAATCATTTAAGCTTGAATCCTAAATGCTCTATGCATAAACTAGTATCCATCCATTGAATGTAACCAATGAAAAGGAACCCATCACGTCTTTGAAAAGGCTGGTTCCAATGTGCAACTGTTTTTACTATTTGGACGTTTTCCTGACATTCAACCCAAGAATGTTTTCTGTAACAAGATCAGTACTCTGTGTCTTGCCCTCTAGGTCAAGGGAGAGAGCATGTTCATTTTTTTCTGGGTCATCCACTTTCTAGAATTTAAAGAACACTAACATCTTTCCCCTCATACGTAGTTTTTCACAGCCAAAACATTCCCAGTCTCCTCAATCACTTGTCATAAGAGAGCTACATGGACTGCTCACCTTTAATGTAGCAAATTTCTTCTAAAATGAAATATAAGTTAAAAAATAACCTAGGAGGTTTTTTTGAAAAAAAAAAACCCACAACATTCTTTAAAATGTTCTTAAAACTTTCTTGTACCCATTAATTCTGGTTTTTCCCACTGGTATAGATCTGGCCTTTGGAATGTATTAAAAATATTGGAAAATAATTAAATCATGGTTCATGGAAAACCTACTATCTGTCCGGTGGGTCTTACTGAAAATATTCTTCTCAAAAGCCTTCTGCTCCTTGACGGTGGGATAGGTGTCATCATAATACTAATAGGGGAAAAGAAAGGCTGATTAGTTGAGAGGCAAAGAAAGAAAACAAGTGGCCAGATTCAAATAAAACATACAATCATGCTAAAGGCAACTTCATATACTAAAATCAGGAACAGAGGATCCAGTTAGATACGGTCAGGCCACCATTTCCAAGAAACATGCTAGTTGGGAGTTAATGTAAATTATGAACTCAAGAATATTGAGAGGGCCAATGACTCCTCATGTCTCATTTAATTGCACAGTCTGCCGCATCTATAAGGTGTGGAAGGGTATTCTAAGTTTCTTTTCCATCATAATAACCCTGACAGGCATCTCCCTGTTTTCTACCAATGGGGAACTGAGACAGATATAAAGCATTTGAATCTCGATAAGAGGAAGTTGAGCCAAGATCTCATAAATTCTCCACCCAAATCAAATGTAGCTGTAGGTTATAAAGTGGGAAACACATTTCCTTGGCCCCTCGAGATAATACACTAGAGCAGAAACAGATGTGATAGCTTCATTAAAAAAGAAAAAAAGAAGCAATTCTACACCAGAAATTTTTCAATAGTTACAGATTTGGGGAATGGGGAGGCAGCGCAGGCAAACCTTGCAATTAGAGCTACAGTTTGAGTTCTTCTTAAAACTTTTAACTTTTCCATTCTTTACAGGCCCCATGATTTACCTTAGCAAAAAGACGGTCTCCATCATTGTCTAAAATCAGAATGGCTTTCACTGTGTAGAGAGATGGTTCCTGGAAAAAAAAAAGATACACATTCACTATTCCATTCAATTAACACCAAGTGCAACTTGTTTTTGAAATCAGACTGTCGTGTGGAGATGCATAGCATCACCTTCATCATTGTCACACTGAACAAAACTAAAGTATATAGATGCTGAGGTGAAATAAAATCTACATTCTGTCCCAAATTTTATTCAGCTGTTGTGATAGTAATGAGTTAAACAAATTAAAACCATAGAAAAGGACCCTGAAACTCCCACACTGACAACTGTGGGGCTGATTCCAAGGTTTATAGTTCTATATACATGTTTTCAAACTTCACATAGCCCTTCACAAGGACTAGAAACTTCATTTCTTTTTCTCTAAAGGGAATCTTGAGATTCTCAAGAGGATGAATTGTCAGAGATCGAATGACATTTTAGTCTGCTACCATTTTAAAATATGAAGAACACATATAGCTCTACTGATGAAATAAATCTGTCACAATATATCATTCCAGGTCTGCATGACTTACAATCTATTCAGTCTAATACAGTCACTTGGTAAGTAAGTAAGAAATGCTGGGAGTTGGGCATGTATAAATTTAAATGCTACTACTACTACTATTACTACTACTACTACTACTACTACTACTACTACTACTACTACTAAAATAATAATAATGAGCTGCTGCAAGGAGATCTCAGTCTGATTACAAAAACAAAGGCAAAACAAAGTGGCAATAATGGTACATTGAAATAACTACAAGAAATACCATTTGCCTACACATAAGAACTGGTGGGACTATAAAATAGACAAATAGTAGAAAATGAAGAAGCTGAAGTGCTCTGGAACTTTAGAATTCAGACAGACAAGCACCTGCCATTCAACACCCTTAACAATTGTTGCTAAGAAAGACAAAAAAGTCTGGACAGTGGATGCTGCAGTACCTGGAGATAGCAGAAGAGAAAAGAACTGTAGAAAAATACAAAGACCTGCAAATATAACAACTGGGGCAAAAGAAAGCAAACGTAGAATCAATAGTCATAGGTGTCTTGGGTGTAATCTGAAAACATATGAAACATCACACAACCACTCTTGGCATTGACAAAATCACCATCAGCCAATTGCAAAGGGCAGCTATACTTGGAAGAGCTTACATCCTGTAATGATACCTTTAACACCATCAAACAATAACATCTGTCTATCACAGGTCCTTGGGAAAGATTCAGTAGATGGGTAAAAATATCTTCCAGTCTAAACATCTGGTTGACTGTGTGACCAATCATAATGTGATGTGGAATGTTTCAACCTGGAATTAAGGAGAAACTTCCTAACAGTGAGGACAATTAACCAGTTGAATAACTTGTCTTCAGAAATCATGGGTGCTCCATCCCTGGAGGTTTTTAAGAAGAGACTGGACAGTCACTTGTCTGAAATGGTATAGGTTCTCCTGCTTGAGCAGGGGGATGGACTAGAAGACCTCCAACGTCTCTTTCAGCTCTATTTCTATTAATTCTTATTCTTATTCCTATCCTATCCTATTGCAAAGAAGAGAGGATTTCCACTGTACCTGTAAAAAATTCACCTTTAAGTTCTTGTAGCCTGAGCCTTTTTATGAGAGAAGTAATAAGATAAGACCATAAATTTTGCAGATTGCAAAGTGAAGGTACTGCTCTAAATTCAATAGCAGAACTAAATGTGGTTCAGTCAAATATCAGCTTGTCAGACCTATGACCAGTTATAGCTTCCATAAGTAAATACGCAACATAAAACTTTCCAGCCCAACCTTGACACACAGAGTCAAAATTATGGAAATATGGACAACTTTCTTGCCATGTTTAGAGTCCAATGAGATATTCTAATGGGATTCAAACAGGAGGACTGTAGCTGCATGGTAGAGCACATCCTCTGCCCAAAGAAGAACTCAAGACAAAATTCCTGGTGAGCTTCAAGATAGGCTTAATAAAAATCCTATCAAACATCAACAGTTGGGCTTGGCATAAACCAGCTTCCCAAATTCCTCTTGAGGTGAAGCTGGAGAGAGAATGGGCCAGAGGAGAGCCAATTTTTCCCTGATGGATGCTGAAAAGCTCTCGAGACAAAGTTCTGTGATGCACTGACTTCCATGTAGCCACAGTCAAAGTGTATAACAGAACTTCACCTCAAGCGCTGTAACAGTTCCTCTCTGGGAGCAGAAGACCATCTATGGAACAGACCTGCACACAGATATGTCAACCTTGACACAGAATTTAAGCCTGTTTACTCATCCTGAGACACTGTGCTACTGATATAGTTAAAGGCCAAGGAAGCAGACAGAATGCTTTTTCTTAAGTTTTATGAAACAAGAATTCCTGATAATTATGGAAGTGGGCAACACTATTCTTCTTAAGATTAAGCCTGAAGCTATCACAAACCAAAGTCTGGCACCTAGAATTTAAAACAAGTGATAATCAGGTTTCTTGAAATGATAAGTGTTTTGCAAAGCAACCTACCTGTATGTCATGGAATTCCATAATAAGCTGAATATTATCTAGTTCTACAGCACGGGTGTCAAACTCGCCGGAGCTGGGGTGGGTACAGCCTCCACATGATGCAACTGGCCCACGGGCCGGCAGTTTGACACCTCTGTTCTACAGTGTCCAGCAGTTCTGCTTGTACAGGACCCAGATTTGTCACGAGGCAACCCACAGAACTAGAACTTAGAAATTGTTACAAGGCATATGGAGCTGGGAATACTCAACACTTCTCAATGCAGATGCTTTTATTTTCTAGGGAATTCTGTGATTTCTGCAATTATTGAGGGTTCTTAGATCACAAGACCAATAAATTAGGCCAGCCATGTAGGATGACTTATTATTATCATGTATATCATATTGTTCCAAACTATATTTTCAAGTCATGCAAACAAACTTGATAGGCTAACTTCTTTGTCGATTGAACACTCTCTCATTACAAGATTTGTCAGAATAATTTGCTATAGAAAATGAGATGCTAGAACTGGGATTGCAAGGGTTTTCTATAAGAAGAGAGAAACATGAAGAAACTGCCAGTTTCCACAGGAAGATGGAGAAAAAAAAAATCAGGATTCCTCTGTGGCTCTCTCATCCATTATCAGAGAGAAACAAATATGAACAGAGAAAATTCAAATGTTTTTCCAACTCTCTTCTTTCCTATTTACACATGCACAAATTCATCTCACAAGCATAGGAGGCAGAAGTGTTGTAGGAATTTTCCTCCCTTTCTATAATATTTCACTTCACATGAGTCTTATATGTATAGATCTCAATGTGAGAGTTCCGTTTTACAGCAAGATAAGGAATCTGAATTCTGCACTGAAGTTCTTGGAAATTGCAAGCACAACAGTACAAATATCTAAAGCTATGCAACCAGTGACTAATATATCAGAGAAGCATTCAGTTACCTGATCTAATCCAGACTGAATGCTGCCACAAATATGGACAAATGACTAGGACTTGTTTTATTTCCAGGAAGAAAAAAAAAGAGATGCTTACCATATGCATACCAGGGTAGAATTTATACATCTCTTTAGCAGAGAGACTAGTTTATATTGGAGAGAAAGAGATTAAACAAAGTTTAAATCTATAATGAGCACTAACTAGAAGGCCAGAAGAGGCATATTTTGTTTTCCTCTGAAACCTTCCAGTTCAAGCCAAAGGCTGCTTTGAGCAATCAACCATTTGAACAAGACATTAAGAGTTACTGCACAGTTTATTCTGATCATTTAATTCTGAAGTTTCAATAAATTAAAGTTCAGTCAATTAAACTAGGTGTGCAGTGGCCCAGATGGTCGGCAGGATAGCAGTAGCACTGCCATAAAGATTTTACAGCTGCCAGGATCCCTGAGGAAGAAGAGTGTTTGGAAAGGGAGAGAAGGTGGGAGGAATTGTATATGTGTTTGTTTTATTTGCAAAAGACATTTGGAAAAGCTGCATGGAGGAGGCAGAGCCATTTCAAGTGAAGTTTACAGAAAGCCAATATAGCCCGCATGCAAGATAATGAAAAGATGAGAAAAAATATTGTTAGAATCTAATGGGCCCAACTCATACCTTTTCCAAGTTAGGTAATCAGTGTGGAAAAAGTGGCACACACTCCAAAGCAAAATAAACTACCTGTATTTTTGCCCAACATTATCAATGCTGTAGTTCTTAAGAAACTCAAGAATTAAATCTTTTCTGTTATAGACGATGTTTGGCCAAACTGCAGTTAGTTAGATTCAGGGAAAGTCTAACCTTGTTGTGTAATCCCTAATGATATTCATACCTCTGAGCCATTACAGAATCCATCAGATTAGGGAAAGTTGGTTTATAATTCCTCCCACTTTTGAGAATGTGAACAACTCACTTTGATAAGCTCTGTGAATGATTTTTGGGGTGGGTGGGGTTATACACTAATGCAATATGCTTTATAATCCAATCTCATGTGACTGACACTCAGAAATAACTCGTGTTGAGATCCATCTCAAATGCACGGAATGTAGGTTTATAGCTTTATTAACTCTTGGTAGTATAAATTGTTACTTTGTGTGCTTCATATTTTGTCTTGCCATACACTCTGATCTGCATTATTAGAAATGGAGGGTGGGGAGAAACGGCAACTTTTATTTTATTGATGAAATATATTCTACCACGTTCCTATTATCAACGTTGCTCAAGGCAGCTAACAATATTAAAAAAATGATAAAATATAAAGAGTAACAGACGCATATATTCTTAAAAATCAGACACATATATTCTTAAAAAATGAAGCATGCATCCATTAATCCCTCTGTGAATAGCTTAAAAGCCCACCGCATGACTGAATAAAAATCTATTTGCTTATCAAAATAGAGACAAGTGATTTAATGAAACTGCCTTCTCTTGGCCAAGAGATTCAGATCTCTCACCCAGAAAGCTCCCTCTCATATTCCTAATAAATATGCCTCAGATGATGGTGTAATGCAAAAAAGGACCTCTTCTGAATATGTTAATACCCAGGCAGACTCTCAAAGGTAAGATGATCTTCCAGATACT